AACCAGTCCGAGTAGACCCCGTTGACACAAGCACTAGTGTCCCTATAAAGAGACTCCAACGCCTGTATCAAGCCAGCGCTCAATCCAAATGAGTTCAGTGTTTGCCATAGCACATCCCTATCCACTCTGTCATAGGCCTTTTCCAAGTCCATGAACGCACAAAAAACCTTTTGGTTTTTGGCCAAACACTTCTCCGCGATCATGCGCATGGATAAACTACTAATAACTAAAGTCATGATTGGCGTAGTTTTTCTATCTTTGCTAACTACGAGTACAAAACTAAAATTTAATAAAAAATAATTTACTTACATTTCTCCAGCACTCTCAAACAAAATAACACTGACTCACTATAATTTGTGTGATATACTGTCTGTTTTTATTTTTTTTTAATATTTTCTTTGCACTTTCCTTTTCAAGATTCAGGAAACGAATAAACGTATTTGTCCCACATTCGTATTTATAGAGTGACGAATTGAACAAGTCAGTGCAAGGTAGCGAAGCTCTGACTCTCAGGTTTTTACAAGTTCAAAATGTATTGCGACCACAAAGCGAATACTAACATCCTAATCTTACACAATTTTATAAACATATATAATAATTTTTTTACTTCATAGGTACTTTTAAAAATAATGTATATGTTTTGATATTATAAGATAGTATGATGTAAGTAAATAGGTGCTATCAGTGTATGTGTTGAGATCCACTATCGTGGACCCCCATTTTCATTTCATGGACCCCAAAATTTTTTTTCGCTGACGCAGACCCCTTGCAGGTTGTCATAGACCCCTAGGGGTCGATGTAGACCACTTTGGGAATCACTGGTTCAAAGTTATGACTTAGTCCGATGGAATAAAACCGCCTTCAGCCTTTACTGCAATCTTAAGTCTCTTCCTGAACGAAGCGCACGCTGCTCGAACGACTTCATCACTTAAACAATTCCATTCTCGCGTAAGACTAGCTTTAAGCGCTTCCACAGACGTGTGTTTTGTAGTACAAGCCTTGGCCTGTAAAACACCCCAAATACTAAAGTCTAGCGGATTGAAGTCGGGTGATAACGACGGCCACATATCTCGGTCGATCAGCACTGGAATGTTCGCTTTCAACCAATTTTGCGTTCCAATTGCTCTGTGCGATGGTGCCGAGTCTTGCTGGAAAGTCCAACGCTCAGAACCGAACGTGTTACGTGCCCACGGTATCAACCCAGGTATTAAGACTGTCTCGATAGATTTGCTGATTTATTTTCACTTGGTTGCGACCCATTGGGAGAAAAACGAGCGGTGAACGGCCTTTTTCGGACACCGCCGCCCAGACCATGATTTGATCGGCTCCTTGACATCGAGTGACTTGCAGTTCGTCCGCATGGTCGCTAAAACGTCCCTTCAACCACACACGGTCTTTTTGTTTGTTAAGAAATTGCTCAACGCAGAAAGTTTTCTCATCCGAAAACACCAAATTGGGAAGCTCGCCAGAGTCGAGCAAGCGAATCAGCTCTTTGATCGCTCTAACCGTTACAAAGCTTCTACGTTGCAAAGCTGTGAGTTCCTGAGAAATGTTTTTTTTTTCAATGGTTTGACCTTAAGCTTTTCTTTCAATATACTACTAACACTACGGTCGCTTACGTTTACATCCTGTGCGAGCTGATTTGCTGAGCGCGCTGGATTTCTTTCCAATGACGTAATGTCCGGTGACGTAACTTTTCGACGACTGCTGGTGCCGTTGCAGTACAACGCCGTCCTCCACCATAGCGCTTCTTAATGCTACCAGTCTCAGAATATCGTTTGATAGTGCGATGTACAAATTTCTCATTTAGTTTAAGAGTTGGCAGCGCTTGACGAATTTCGATGTTCAATTTTCTTTATCTCACAAATAATCAACCCCTGTGTCTTGCATTTGTGGACTATGAGAAAGCCCTCGACTCCATTGAAACCTGGGCTGTTCTAGATTCTTTACAGCGGTGCCAAATTGACTGGCGGTACATCGAAGTGCTGAGATGCCTTTACAACAAACAGACTAAATGAATCCTCCCAACGTGTTGGTCTGATGAATGAATCTGAACAAGACAAAAGTTATGTTCAACGATTACGTATTGCCAGTTACAATTACTGTTGATGGTGACATTCTCGAAGTTGTCCAGGAATATACCTACCTCGGGCAGATATTGCAATTAGGTAAGAGTAACTTCGAGAAGGAAGCCGATCGGAGGATTTAGTTGGGCTGGGCAGCATTTAGAAAGCCCCGTCGGGTTTTCACGTCGCCCATACCGCAAAGTCTGAAGACAAAAGTCTTCAACCAGTGCGTTCTGCCCGTAGTCACTTATGGTGCCGAAACGTGGACACTGACGATACGTCTGCTCCAATAGCTTAAAATCGCTCAGCGAGCAATGGAAAGAGCTATGCTCGGAGTTTCTCTGGTAGACAAAATTCGAAACGAAGAAATCCGCCGGAGAACCAAGGTTACTGACATAGCTTTCCGTGTTTGTAAGCTGAAGTGGCAATGGGCTGGTTATGTCTGTCGCAGAGGTGACAACCGGTGGAGTAGACGTGTTATGGAGTGGAGACCGCGTCTAGGCAAACGTACTGTGGGACGCCCCCTGACCAGATGGAGCGACGATCTGCGCAAGGTGGCGGTAGAAACTGGATGCGTGTAGCCGAAGATCGGGCTAAGTGGCGCGCCTTGGGTGAGGCCTATGTCCAGCAGTGGACTGCCGCAGGCTGATGATGATGATAACTGCAGCATGGCTCTACCTCATAAATAGTTTGTGTAGCAGTTGAACGAAAAGTATTATGATCTAAGATTATAAGTTATCTGAATATAACGTTAGAGAGATTTGATGATTTTGACATTTTCTGTAGCGGTGAGGCCCATTTTAATTTCAACGTTAATCGCCAAAGTTGCCAATTTTGGGCAGAGTGCAATCCAACACTGTTACATTAATGGACTTTGCATAGCCCCAAAGTTACCGTTTCGGTCACAATGTCGGCAAAGTGCTTTATTGGACCATATTGTTTGAAGGCCATAGCGGCAGAGTGATTACGGTGACTTTTACGGCGCGCTATATTGAGATGATACGTGATTTCTTTGGTCTAAAACTAAGAAAAATTAGGCACTACGATTGCCCCTCGTGGTTTCATCAAGATGGAGCCACGGCGCACACCATTACGTCTCCGTTCATCCAGACCGGCTCGAAGAGCATCGGACAATGCTCTTATCACACAGACCGGCGCATTTTGTCATTATACGCTTGAGACCGGCCGGAGTCGACCGAGCCGTTTTACATTGAATAGCTGGAAGAGCACTTTTAAAGCGAATGCGGTCAGAGCTGGGCGTGTGTTCTTCACACGTGTTACATTCAGACGTTACTCTCAAAATTGGCCCATATAGTATATTATCTATGATCAAAATAGCAGCTGTCGGTGCACGCGGAGCGAGAGAGGACGCAATCGGAGCCACGAGCTAGTGGGTAGGTTGCCTTAGCACGGCGGACTCTACAACATGGCAGCCGCTCGGCTCCTCTCGGCTCCTCTTATTACTTTACACGAAGCGCTTTAGTTCGGCACTCAAGCATTCTCATATAACAAAAGAAGTGAAATTTAAAAATAAACCTTATATCAATTATCTAAAGTTCTATTTTTATCGCGATCAAAATTAGAAATTCTCTCCGAGCCAGTCTGTGTGAACGGACCCTAACAATTCGGAAGCAGCACTGCAAGTGTTGTATTTTACAAAAACAGACCGTAAAGATTAGTAAATTTGTAATTAAAGAGAAAAGATTTTTCCCTTAGCAACTTCTTCGAAAATTCTTCGATAAGGTTCGCAAAAGATTTGAAGAATGTCGCCAAAAATATGGTCGTCATTTATCAAATGTAATATTTGAAAAGTAAAATTTCGTTTTTTTTTTGTGTACATTTTGGTATCAATAAATAAATATTTACAATTTGCAATTTTTATAATTATTGTTCGAAATAGTTGAATCGTTCTGTGACACCCGGTAGAACCAGCATGGTAGCGATCACCTCATTCCAAGGGGTTATTTTCATTTGTGTATTTCTTAACATTATAATAACCTTTTTTGTGCAATTTTTCAATTTTGTTGTAAAATCGTAAATTATTTATATATTTCCCCATAAATGCATTAGTAATACTGTGAAGTCTGGTAACTGGCATTACAAGGTTGCGCAATGTTTGTTTCTAGTGTTTACAGTATAAACATCTTTATTCTTATCAATGTTATTCATGTTTTTATTACATTTTCATAAATCTACGTAATATGTGTAATTTCTATGCATGTAGCGATGCTAATGTTGAGGTTTATTTCATTATTTTTTTTTTTCAATTTAAGCTAAACATTGCTCGTACGGCTCTTTTGCGAAGTAAAGAAAAGATCGTTACTAGTAATAAAGAAAAAAAAATTAATCAGTTTCTAGTTTCTTTTGGCATGAACCATAAGTTTCTACTACTTTTTACGAAGTAGAATCAATAACACAAAACACCGATTTTTTAAATAATTGTTTTCATTTTTGGTGATGATAATTTTAATAGTAGATTCTCATGCATGAAGTGAACGTTGCAAATATTATTTGCAATATTATCAATTTCTTTTAATATTAGTATTATTTATGTATAACAATTAAAATTGAAGTGTTTTTGTAACATAAAACAACTAGCTTATTTTAAGCTCCGGAAGCATATTTTAATGCAATTAAGACATGTATAACCATTATTAAAATGTTTGTCGTGTCTGTCTATCTGTTTATCCAGACTAATATTCTCAAAGGCCCAATCGATTGCGATGAAACTTCAGAGAGCAATGCCAGAAGTGGTCTGGGCTATATTTTTTTCGTAAAATAAATAGAGGATTTATATTGGAAAATCGAAAAATTGTTAAAAATACATGGTCTTTGATGACTAACATAAATTTAGATGACGTCACATTAATCTATTCGTCCAAAATAGCCAATAGGCTCACAGGCAGTACTTGAATATCTTCATCAATATTTCAGGATATCAAACAGTTTACCGCAGCAACGAGCGTCTCGACGCCGGATTGGTTTTTCCTGGAGTTTTGTCACGTTGGCGGAATCGGCAAGCTGTTCAGATCATCCGATCTGATCCACTTCAGCACCTACGTGCAACTGTTCTACAAGAACATGCCCATCGACTGGCTTTTAGAGAGCTACTTAGCCGATAGAGTATGCACCATCGACAAGAGTTCGGTTAGTAGTTTAAAAAACATCAATATATAGTATTTTAAAAAGCATCATAATAATATTTCTTTTTGCACATCGATACATTATTAATTATTTTATTTTGTGAGAACGAGACCTACGTTTTTTATATTGAAAGATTATACTTATACATACTAGTCCACAAAGAATTGTCTTCAAAACTTGAAACATCAATATTCAATCACAAGATTAATTCATTAAATAACGTTTTACATCACTAATCTTGTCATTTGTATACTAGGTATCTTTGGATAATGTAGATAGATGTTTTCAGGTACATGCTATTTATACGGATTTACAAAAATCATTCGACAAGTAGATCATTGTATCTTATTAAATAAACTAGCTTACAACGGAATTGGAGGAAACTTGATGTAATGTTTTTGCTTGTACATCCTATTACCTTTAAACGAGCAATTCTATATATATATATATATATATATATATATATATATATATATATATAATCGGAATCTCGGAAACGGCTCCAACGATTTTCATAAAATTTTGTAGGATTTGGAAAAAAAAAAAAAATTTTGTCCGTGTTTTTAGGCAATGAAAAACTGCTACAATATCGTTAGAATAAGAAGTTAAATTTTGACAGTTTATTAATGATTACAAATAGTTTAATTGGTATATTGGGCGGTCACAAAATCGTAATACCATGGTTCGAGCCCAAACCGACCGACCGACTTTTTTTAACTTTCTTTCAAGTTCATTTCTTTTTTGAGAAATTCTATTTTTTCGAGCCCTTTTTGTAGTATTTTTTAAAAACACGAAAATTTAAATTAAACTAATTGCACTCATGATTTTTTATTCAAATAACCAGTTCAGTTTTTTTTCTATTATGTCGCTAAGATTAAAAAATATTATTCGTATTACATCAGTATGTAATTTGTATCTAAATATAATTTCCAAAACACACGAATTAAAAAAAAACCGAGCGAAAAATACCGAGCGAAAAATACCGAACAAAACTCGGTCAACCGGGTACTTGTTAATAGATCGCGGAAGGTTGTTATTATGGATTACATTCTATTTTTCTTTTATTAGTAAGTGTTTTCTACACTCCAATTTCTTGATTTATGCTAACGATTTAAAAGTATACAAACCAAGAAGAAACATAAATGATAGCAAACTTTTACAACATTATTTAAACCTCTTTACGTAATGTTTAACCAATATAGCCAATTACTACTTAGCGACAGTAGCCTAATAGCAGGGCGTGGACCGCGAACTCAAAAAGGTCGTGGGTTCGAATCCGCCATTCGACTACTGGCGTGAACCACTCGTAACACAAGCAATTTAAGCTTACCACGAATGGTTAAGGGGAATATTAGTAATGTTTATATCATTGTTAATATTCTTTAAAAAAAATATAATCATCAAATAAAGCCAAGCCAAAATATCACCATAGTTACCACGCCAACCGGGTGCCGACCAACCAACCAACTAACTTTATTATAGTAATTTTGCTGTTATCAGGAAGATTTTGTGCCAATCCCCGGATTTGTTTACCACTGTCGTATTACGGCACCCACGGAATGATATGGAGTAGTGAATAATCTTACACCGCCACTACTCGGTATTAATGGTAATCGACGTCCATGCCGGTACTTGTTGGGAGCACTAAGCTCGAAATTTTTGACGAGTATGTTTACCTGGGACAAATAGTACGATTAGGTAAGTCCAACTTCAACCGAGAGGTCAATCGACGGATTCAACTTGGCTGGACGGATTACGACACATCTTCTCGTCAAGTATACCTCAAAACCTGAAAACAAAATTGTACAACCAGTACGCGTTGTCAGTGATGATTTATGGGTCTGAAACGTGGTCCTTCACTACTGGCCGTATGAGACGCTTAAGATATCAGCGAGCTATGAAGAGGAATATGCTAGGGGTTTCTCTGCATGATAAACTCAGTAATTAGGATATCCGAAGTAGAACCCGCCATAGCCAAACAGATAAGTAAGCTGAAGTGGCAATGGGCCAGCCATATAGCTCGAAGAACCGATAACCGATGGGGAATAAAGTTTATCGAGTGGCAGCCTCGTACCGGTATGCGAAGTGTAGCGCGACTCCCTTACTAGATGGAGTGATGACCTGGAAAGACATGCTGGATCGATGAAAAATACCAGAAATATTCTATGGAAACTATATAAACTGAACCCCAAAATTTTATTTTATTAAGGGAAAAGACATAAAGTCCCAAAAAATATAAAGAAAAATAAAGCCAACTATTACTTCAAAACATTTATAAATTGCAAAAGTAAAACAGCATAAATGTAGATTGATTAACAATCTATCTTATAATAAATTAAAAGAAGCAAAATTCCTAAGTAAGTTGAAGGATATAAATAGACTGATACTAATGATACTAACCAAAAAAAAAATCTGTGAATGTTTCAATGAATTCTTCGACATTGTTTGCTCGAATTTAACAAATCAAATAAAAAAACCTTATGTAAGCCTACAATAATGAAAAAGGGTATTTCTGGATTTCACTCCCAAAAATATAGTTCTTTAGCACCAGCAACAGTAGTTAAAATTTTTGCAATAATGAAATCCACTAATACTAGCTCAGGCTTAGAATGCATTTCAAGTTCAATAATAGAAGAATTAACGGGCTGCATTAATGTGTCAAGATATGAGCCTTCCCTGAGGAGCGTTCCCTGACAGACTTAAAATTGCCAAAATCAATACAAATTTGAATCAAAATTTGACCCTGGGAATTATCGCCCGATATCGGTATCACTCTCAAAAGTTTTTGAAATAATTATTTATAACCGGCTTGAAATATTCTTAACGTCAATCAATTTTTCCTTAGTAAGAAATCATATGGTTTTAGATCAAAATCAAATACATTATCTGCCACAGAAGACCTTATAACGAAAATAAAGCTGAATTTTAGATAGGAAAAAATCACGATTTGTTTATTTATAGTTAAAAAAGCTTTTTACTCAGTGAGCCAAGCTCAGCTGCTATTATATAAACTTGCTAATATTGGTATAACTAACACTGCACTAGCTATTATCAAATCTTATTTAAGTAATCGCCAACAAGTAGTTAAACATGAAGTTCTTTGTACAACTGTAACTTTTAGTGTGCCTCAGGGCTCTATCTTGGGGCCCCTACTGTTTCACACACACACACACACACACACACACACACACACACACACACACACACACACGCACGCACGCACAGGCCCACACACACGCACACACACGCACACACACGCACACACGCACACACGCACACCCGCGCACACACACGCACACACACGCGCACACACGCACACTCGCGCACACATACGTACACACGCAAGCACACGCGCACACACGCGCACACACACGCACACACGCGCAACACGCGCACTCACGCACACACACGCACCCACATGCACGCCCATTCACGCACATGCACACACACGCACACACACGCACCCACACGCACACACATGCGCCCACACGCGCCCACAGGCACCTACACGAGACCACACGCGCCCACACGCGCCCACACGCACCCACACGCACCCACACGTACCCACACGCACCCACACTCCCCCCACACACCCCCACACGCACCCACACGCACCCACACACGGCTTGAAATATTCTTAACGTCAATCAATTTTTCCTTAGTAAGAAATCATATGGTTTTAGATCAAAATCAAATACATTATTTGCCACAGAAGACCTTATAACGAAAATAAAGCTGAATTTTAGATAGGAAAAAATCACGATTTGTTTATTTATAGTTAAAAAAAGCTTTTTACTCAGTGAGCCAAGCTCAGCTGCTATTATATAAACTTGCTAATATTGGTATAACTAACACTGCACTAGCTATTATCAAATCTTATTTAAGTAATCGCCAACAAGTAGTTAAACATGAAGTTCTTTGTACAACTGTAACTTTTAGTGTGCCTCAGGGCTCTATCTTGGGGCCCCTACTGTTTCACAGACACACACACACACACACACACACACACACACACACACACACACACACACACACACACACACGCACGCACGCACAGGCCCACACACACGCACACACACGCACACACACGCACACCCACGCACACACACGCGCACACACGCACACTCGCGCACACATGCGCACACACGTACACACGCAGGCACACGCGCACACACGCGCAATCACACGCACACACGCGCACACACGCGCACACTCGCGCAAGTGCGTACACACGCACACACACTCGCACATACGCTCACACATGCGCACATGCGCACATACGCGCACACATGCACACACACACGCACACACACACACACACACTCCCCCACACGCACCCACACGCCCCCACACGCACCCACACGCACCCACACACACCCCACACACACCCACACACACACACCCACACACACACACCCACACACGCACACGCTCCCACACGCACACTCACCCACCCACATCCACACACCCACACACGCACACGCTCCCACACGCACACCCACCCACCCACACACTATCACACACTACCGCACACTACCACACACTACCACACACTACCACACACTACCACACACTACCGCACACTACCGCACACTACCACACACTACCGCACATTACCACACATTACCACACACTACCACACACTACCACACACTACCACACACTCACCCACCCACACACCCAAACACCCAAACATCCGCACACCCACACACCCACACACCCGCACACGCACACGCACTGGCACACGCACACGCCCACAAACACCCACACACACACACACACACACACACACACACACACACACACACACACACACACACACACACACACACACACACACCCACACACGCACACGCTCCCACACGCAACACCCACCCACCCACACACCCAAACACCCACACACACACACACCCACACACCCGCACACGCACACGCACTGGCACACGCACACGCACACGCGCACGCACACGCACACGCACTGTCTAGCTGACAAGAACGTAGGTGTAACCGCACTTCTGATATTAGTCGTAACATATAATATATAAGAAACAGTAGGGACCCCAAGATAGAGCCCTGAGGTGCACTTGAAGTTAAAGTTCTATAAAATTCTAAAAAAGCTAGTGCACTTCGGCTTTAAATCGTAACATATATAAACAATATCAATAAGCTAGGCTTAATTGGGGATATAACCTTGTACGCTGATAACACGTGCTTTTTTATTACGGTCACGCAATCGAATAGTGCTTCAGATAAGCACAAAGTAATTTGGATTCGCTGAATGAATGGTTACAGAGCAATCTTTGAACGATCTGCACAACCAAAACTAGTTATTAGCCTTTTGCAAAAAACAAAAGATTTGTGACCATATTCCTTTGATGATTAACTTCATAAAAATTAATAAGATGGATCATCATAATTAGATAGTAGATTAACTGCGCTTCCGCACATTTTAAAAATTAAATCTAAGCTGACGTCTCTAATGGGTATGATAAAGGGTATTGCGCGTTGTCTTTCAGTACCTGTACGGTATACGGTTTTTTATTCTATTATAAAACTACAAATCGAATATTTAGTAGAAACATGGGTTAATGCAGTCAAAACCAATCTATCAATAGTAAATACTGCTCAAATTATTAAAAATGTGGCTTCATTTTGATTACCTGACACCGACGGACAAGCTATATAAACAAACTAAAGTAATGAACACGGACGAGTAAAAAAGTAAGGACTCCGCGTCACCTACATAAAAAACATAGTACCCTAAAACAAGCCAGTTAGGTATAAATACGAACCTACACGCACACACTCACAAAAAGATCGGCCGATCGGCCGCCATTACGTTCGCGTATCAAAAATTGATTTAATGCCGTCTTTCGTTGAATGGTGCAAAAATAATAACACATAACAAAAAAAGTGTCACGAGTTTACCTTTCACAGGTAAGCCAGTTCTTATTACATTATTTATTACGCACTTTAGGCACACATGTACAGCATAAATGTTGCTTCACTTACTAGTATCGCGGTGCTTAGTCCTTATTTTTTTTTACTCGTCCGTGGTAATGAACCTAATATCACAAATATACATGAATATAACTTTTTCAAGGAACAAAACAGAGGAAAACCTTAGAAAATACTCTAAAATCCGGAATAGACAGCACATTGTGTACAAATGCACAACGACGCCATATTCATTCATCAGTCGAGAACGGCGACTTATCTAGGGTTTGGAAGTTTCTTAAAACAGTTGGAGTTGGCAGAACCTCTTAATGCTTCACCTCCCAGTGTTCATGTTGAACTATTAAATCACCATTTTTCTAATCCTTCTAACTCTTTTGATAGTGAACGTAAACTGCAAACACTTCGTTCTCTTTCTGTACTGTGCGTGCGTGCGTGGGTGCGTGCGTGCGTTCGTGCGTGGGTGCGTGCGTGCGTGCGTGCGTGCGTGTGCGTGCGTAAGCGTCTGCGGTAACGCGCGCGCGCGCGTGTTTGTGTGTGTGTGTGTGAGAGAGAGAGAGAGAGGGAGAGTAATCGTGAGTATATTAGTATGGAGTGCTTGCGTGCGTGCGTGCGTACGTATGTGCGTTACCATAAAGTATATCATCACTAATATAAAGTAACAAAAACAATTGTCTTACAGAAAGTTTGTGGAAAGCACAAGAACGAAATTCGCCCAAAATACAAAACATCCTTGTTCCAGCATATTGGGCTCTACTCTTCGCTGAAGGGGAAGATACAGAAAGTGAAGGTACTTAAATTTTTTTTATTTGCTTAGTTTTGGACAATGATATACAAAAGGACAATCTCGAACCTTCAAATAAATTTTTGTTGACATTTTTTTCTTGCGTCTACAACAATTAAAAATATATAAAATATAGAGATTGAAATCCTGAACATTTTTTTCTTCAGTCGCAATACTGCGGTAAGTTAAGAAGTAAAAATGTTCCAGTTTGAACAAAATCCACATCAAACTGGGCTGTATGGTATAAGAATTGTGCCTGCTTTAATTGACAAATCGTTACAATGACAATATTATAGTCAATATAATTTTTAATTATGCTTAAATCGAGTAATTACTAGCATAGAGGGAATCCTAAAACAACGCATTAGTTAATATTCTAATATAATATTTTAGGATTCCCTCAATGCGAGAAGAGTTTTGTGAATAAAATAAACATGCTTTATGATTTAAGACCTTTGCCTGACTTAATTGCCAAAGCGTAACAACTATAACAAGTAGTCAATTTAGTTTTAAATTATGTATGATGATTTTTACAGACCACAAATTATAAAGTTGTATGTACAGCAACACCGTTATGGAGTATATAGAGGTAAGGAGTACAGACTCTGTATAAAAAAGTGTCCGTAGGAAAGCGTTAAATAAGGGTGGCGCCACTGTAGCTACAGTCTAAATTTTAAAGAACTTTCTATAACTTTTTTTATTGCACAGACTTTCACCATAATTCTTATTACAATAATTATTTTATTGCTTTCAAAATTTTTATATTCAAAATCACTCCCAACGTATTTATGGCGGTTTTTCATACACTGTAGCTACTCGAGCGCTGTTGTGGAGAGTTTCTGAACTGTTTTACTGCTTACAGATGGACACATTTTCAACTATTCTCCTATGGGAGATTGTCCTCCTTACCTCTATACTCCATAAACGCCGTCTTTGACCATACAGGTGCCCTTGGGCACACAAAAATTTGGGGCCCTTTTGGAAAGTAAAAAAGTGAATGACAAAACATTTTTCTGCTACGATCTTATATTTATTATAGTATATTGGTAAAAATCAAGTAATATATCATTAATGAGGGCATCCACGACTTTCTGCCACCAGAGTCGCGCCACTTTACAATGAGCTAAAATATTTGACAGATTTCATAGCGGGGACCATAATTTCTAAAGAAAATGTAAACTTTAATGTTTCTTTCCTAAATTTTCTTTAAAAAATGAAAATATTTTATAACAAAATCAATACGTATATTCTTTTTATTAATTATATTAAAGTTTAGGCTGCACTTGTCTAAAAATAAGGATCGTAACAATTATTTGCTATAAACTTTAATATTTGTGGTTGAAAATTAACATATTAAATAAATCATTTGCCGCTAAATCTTTTGAAGTGTTATTTTTATTAAACAGTACGAAATGATATTTTTATCTCATAGATTATAAATACGTAAGTTGTCGAAAATTAAAAAAATCCAGGCAATAAGTGAGGCGACTGCACAGCCCTACAAAAATTTTAATGACGACGGAAAGTTTAGGTGACGGCGAAACGCGGAACTACATATTTTCTACCCAGGAAATCTGTCAGTTCCACTTTTTTTTGGCTTACTCGGCAATATATGACTTGTCACTGCTCAGGGTTGCGAGAAAGTCACTAACAACGCCCTCATTTAGGCACTCTATAATTTTTTTTGTCGGGTTATATCTACCTAAAATAGAAAAAAATGTGTAGCGTAAGCGAATAAGGCCGACGCCTTTAGTCACGGGGGCCTACGTTAATATAGCCCCTGGACACGGGCCCCGTGTGCCCTTATGGTAAAGACGGTACTGATGTATAGGACTGTTTCAAAGATCGATAGATCATAAGCTTAAGTAGATAAAATATAGTAAATTATGCGCTTAATAATTCCATCAACAATTTTTTCGCCGTTGTCCTTTTATACCTATTCCGTCACGTAGTGATAAAAAGGAATATTTCACAAAATGGTAGCTTCCACATTTATAACGCATGGTTAAACGAACGATTAGACGGAAACATTCTTCCTTGCATGCTTATGCTTTCATTATTTATTCATCTCATCATCTATTTTTCGTCATATACAATCAATGCACAGACAAGTAAAAGTTGCAAATTCCATACATTTCAATATATCATTAAATTTCATATGTTCGATTAAAGCGCTGTCCTATTGCCATCGCTCGCACGATGATGCGATGCGATTTCATCGTCCGATGAATCCGCACGCGCGATTTCTTCAGTCGCATCGCATGATCGCACAACGTTCAATAGGACATTCCGCAGATATGAGTATGTTTAAACGCACTGTCGCACGATCATTTTCGTTGGACGCAACGCATGATCGCGCGAGTGATGGCAATAGGATAGCGTCTTATGGTGCCAACTGCTTACTGCTCGCAACCAACGGTAATGGTTATTATAATGACAACGATAAAAAAATTTAAAACATGTGTGAAGTATTTAAAACCGAAGTGGATAAATAAAGGATATTCTCCCTCGCCATGGTTAATTAATGAAAATATTACTTAAAAAATCTAACATATTATATACTTTCGAAAAATATATATTATAACATAATTTTTACCTGTTTTACTTTAGGATAACCCACTTGGCGCAGTGCCAACATTTTATCCCCATACGAATCCACCGGTTCGATCTTTGAAGACTAATATTCAAGAGCAATCTGACCATACGTTGAGGAGGGCTTACGATGGGCAAACTTACTTCTGGGGCGTTAAACCGAAGAAAGGCGATATGGTAGAATTTTGGTTCGAGAAACCAACTCAAATTGAAAGGTAAGGAACGTGATATTACTGTGTTACTACTCATGAATTTAATTCGTTAAGAATCATAATTAATTCACTTATTGCCTTAGACAACATTAATGGTAATCACAAATCATTCTACAAATACGCCTTACCACGCCTTACCGAAATGCAAATCGTGCAAATTTCTATCATCCTTTTCCCATCAAACATTAAAATATTTAGCAAGTTTAGTTTAGTTAGTTTAGTTTACGACGGGCTGTTTTCCGTAACTCCACGTCTAAGCGCGTATTTTGCGTGTGGGCAGGAATAATATGCTTATTCGAGCCACGATATCTCCCCGAAGAAGCTCAGCAGTCCCTTGATGTTGCAAGTAACTTCGGGGAGCGATCGCGGCGTGCCGAGATGTTTAGCCCTGTATGAAGCGACTCCTGGACATGTCAGCAACATGTGAGCCGCCGTTCATTCCTCTCCCATGCATGCCCTGCACAGGGGGCTGTCAGTAACACCTATGGTGAACAAATGTTTGTTAAAAGAGCCATGTCCTGTGATAGCACTTGTTACTACCCTGATCTGTGGCTTGTTCAGTCTCATTAGAACCTTGGTTAGACGACTGTTTATTTCAGGTAGGGCCTCCCTAGCTTGTCTACAGTCTACTAAATTTTTCCAAAGCTGAGCGTGTAAATTACTGAAGTATCTACGTACTAGTGAACGAACAAAGGGGATTGGTATTATTGGTTCCGGCCCTATAGTTGCTAGGGCCGATCCCCTACTGGCCAGTTCATCTGCTCCATCGTTGCCTCTAGATCCACTGTGTCCCTTGATCCATTGCAGAGTCACATTGTTGTACTTACATACCTCATTCAATCGTTGATGGCACTCGTGTATCAGTCCCGAGTTCGTCACATTGTAACTCAGAGCTTGTAGTACGGCCATACTGTCGGTCAGTATTCTGATGGAGAAGTCTTTCACCTTCCTAGCATCTATTGCTATGGCCGCTTGGATAATACAGCCTGGAAGACTGTGTTGTGGGTACCCAGCGGTGTGCATATGTGGATATTAAGGTCTTCAGAGAAAGCCCCAGACCCCACACCTTCATTTGTCTTAGAGTCATCCGTGAAAACTTTGAGCTCTCTTGGACCTAATCCTTCCAGATGGTCAGTTTCCTTCAATTCTATCCTGTACTTCTTATCGAATACAAATTGTTTTGGGATCCTATCATACTTGGCCTGTAAGATAGGAATTTTTGAGTAAATTCTATCGATTATATCTGTATGGGGGACTCTACTCTTACTTAAAAGATTTAGGGTCTTGAGTCTAATGGCAGCTAAAGTTGCTTCTTGTTGTATATGTAGATGAAGCGGTGTTAGCTCCAGCATAGCCTCCAAAGCTGCTGTTGGTGTAGTCCTTATGCAGCCCGTGGCAGCCATACAAGCTAATCTCTGGTAACGCTGAAGCTTTTGTATAGTGGTGGCTTCATTGGTTTTGGTCCACCATACTAGAGAGCCGTATGAGATCATGGGCCGAATTACAGTTTTATACAGCCACAGTATAATTTTTGGCGTTAAACCCCATCGTTTGCCGATCATGTGTCTGCACTGCCAGAAAGTTAAACTAGCTTTGCTGATTTTGTTTTCTATGTGTTTGTTCCAGTTAAGTTTACTGTCCAAGGTAAGACCTTAGCGATAAAAATAACAAATGAGTATATTTATTACCTTCAGACTGAATTTCGCTCACGGCGGTTAGCCTCAACGGAGACTAGCCACTGGCGCAGGACAGGATTATAGTGCCCAAGTGTATGCGCAAGCACAGATGCGTTCTCTATTTCGTCACTCTCATTGTTCGATGGGATGGTAAACTGACGTAACCGGAGAGAGGTCAGGCGCAGGACCAACGGTTTTACGTGCTTTCCAGGGCACGGGGGTGAGACACCGCCAACTTCCTAACACCGGGCTGCTACTGAGAGTTTCTTGCCGGAAAAACTCAGTAACTGATATTTTTATGGCTTGAGCCGGGATTCGAACCCAGGACCTCATGATCAGCAGTTGCGTTTACAACTACTACACCAGCGAAGCAGTCAGTGCGAGTATATTTATTTTAGGATCAACTATTCAACTATTTTTCCATATTGGTCGTCAAGTTGCAACGATAATATCGACAAGCTTGGTGAGCGGGCTTATAATCGCAGTACTGGATATTTTTAGTTTACTCATCATCTAAATTAGAACAACTTACAGTTCTACTAAATTAGGAAAGGAATGAATTTTAACGATAAGATATAAAACATATTGGTGCGCGCCACAGTTGATGGCACTAGCGCCATCTATTATCGAACAGAGGAACTAAGCTTTCTAGAAAGCTCCACACTCGAACTTTCTGCGCCTGGTCGGTCAGCCCCCGTATTTGCTGGAATATTCTGGATGTTTCGGTGGAAGAGCCCTATTTAAAGCCGTTGAAAGCCGCGATCGGGGCAGTATTGAATTTGGCGATTCAAGCGAAGCTTCGGAGCGAAATAAAGTGAATCAGTGTGATTAATTATTAGTGTCTTTTAAAATTTAATTGGTGTTCAGTAATAAAAGTGTAAATTTTGGTAATTCAATCGCCAGTTTTTATTGTCACGAACCCTATGCTCGTAACAATATGTAGGTTTATGAAAGAAGAACCTGCGCAACCTAGCTTCCTCGGCGTTAGAACTAGGAAAGTAAACTGTATTTTATAAATAAAAAATCATACAAATATTTACAGGCGTATAGCAATAAAAAAAGTCCTACTAGCTCAGAGGATTAGCGCCCGCTGTAAATTTCACAGTACGAGAGCAACCTGGGTTCGATTCCAGCCGGCATAAATTAAATTGTTAATTATAATTTTAAGTGCTGATTTACCACATGCTTGGCGGTGAAGGAAAACATTGTGAGGAAACCTGCATGTCTGAGAAATAAAAAAAAATATTTCGAAAACTTAGTCTGCCAACAACGCATTTGGGCGCGGCGGACACATTCTCGCCCTAAAACCCTCTCAAAAGTGAGAGGAGGTGTAAGCCTACTACCTACTAATTATAAATGTAAAAATTTGTATGAATGATTGTTGTTTCTCGATAATAAAGACAAAGTTATGTCATTAAAAGAACATTCTATAATTACTGCAATATCGGTTTATATTTTGACGGACGGTGGAAGGAAACAGATATTCAGACGGCAAACGCTCGCATATTTCAAAAGTTTTCCGAAATGTATTTCACAGAGGGCTTAATTTATTTATTTTCCGGGGGCATTTTACAGGCCCTTTTTGTACTATAAGTTTAAACATATTGATTTAATTTAGAGTTTTAAAAGTTTTACATTATATCGTTAAGAGCTCGTCACAAAACTATTTTTTTAAATGTCATAATACTTACATTTTTTTTTAATTATATAATAAAACTTTAACCGTAAAAAGCAAATAAGAAAAATATGTTTTGCATTACAGTTACACTTTCCGGAGTGGCAACGTTGACCACATATCAGACAAGTTCTATGACACAGTGGTAGAAGTGATGCCATCTAAGACTAATAACTTCACTGTTGTTGGAGCATTTGACGAGTTTGGCCTTGCTGACGGTGAACTTAAGAAGGAAATTGGACCTATTGTTGCAATGCGTCTGAGAATCAACAGCGACAGTTTCTACTGGGTCATCCTCAGCGAGGTAAGTTCATATATTATGTGACATGCAAAGGTTATACCGGTTTATCTGATTGTTATGTACCTTTTTAACAATATGTACTATTTTTAAAGAAATAAATTTAAAAAATAATAAACGACTGCCGTGTGGCGGCAGCGAGATAGCTTTTTACCCCTTTCTTTCCGTTTACAACGTAAGACAGACTTAAAATAATTAGACCGACGACGGACATAAGCGTCGTAAGTAAGTTGCGGGACGTCTGGTAGCGCGATCGTCAATTCCCCTGCCAACTGCCTGCGTGATGAATAAAATAGGACCGCACTAGGCGGAACTGCACCGCAGTGTAACTGAGCGACACGACGCGTCAAATTATTCTTTATATGAAACTATATGAGACAACACGCAATAAGCGACAACGGAACTAAACTGCAGCAGAACTGCTCGGCAAAGTTGATCAACTGACCAACTCTTGTCGCTCAGTTCCGCTGTGGTGCAGTGCCGCCTAGTGCGGACCGCACTTTATTCGTCACATAGACAATCGCAGGCGAATTGATGATCGAATAAATATGTACTTATACTATACTACTGATATCTACAATAATGTATATATATATATATATATATATATATATATATATATATATATATATATATATATATCGTCATTTAATTACACTCTATCGACTGAAGGGATTTTATTAGTTTTTGGCATAATTGTACATTTTGTCCGTGTTAAAATTTCACTTCATTTTATAGAATCCATGGTGATTTGTACCCACACTTGTGCTCCGCGCGAAAGTCACCAACGAACTGATTAATAGTGCGCCAATTGCCCTACACACGCGGCAGAAGCAGCTATAATCTAGAGAGCTAACTTTTTAGTTCATAACGCTGCGCTCCTGCCGCACTGCCGCAACGCCAATCTAGGATATTGCCTCTGCTTGCATATATACATCACAATTACACTCTCACAGAATACCAGCGTTAAATTGTAGCTTAATGCTGCTATATTTCATATGGTGAGTGTAGAGAACCGGAGACCCTTTTTACTGGAAACGTGGCATTCCATCTCAGTCCTCACGGGTGACAACGCATCTGCATTTTGATTTGTAATTGTAATCGAGGATAGATGTACATGTCTATGGGCCGCAGCAACCACTTACCATAAGGTGTACTGTGTGCTCGTTTGTCATCCTATTCTATAAAAAAAATTTAAGGCGATTGAGGGTCATCACCACTACTACACCCTAGATTGCCCCTGCGACAGGCGTGTGAGTAGCCGCCTTTGGTAGTGTGTGCGCAGTGCTTACTCACTCGTATGTTAACTGTTCTTTTTAATTATTTAATTTTTACCCATATATTAACGTTACGTTAATATTCTATATGCTCTTAATTTATTTTTGTTTGCTTACTCCATTTTTTTTTGTTAATTGTTTAATTTCTCGAAAGTGATCATTTGAGAAATAAAATCTTACACTAATTGTCTATTTCTTCAGATCCAACTTAAAACACGGGAGGATTCAAGATGACAGAATGTGAAGATACCTTGGGAGCGATACAAAAAACTGATAAAACCGCCTCAAATCAAACGGCATCGGATGTTACTGCGACTATCGGGTGACAGCTCCTAAATGATTGTCGTTTTGGCTACACTTCTCGAGGAACCTGCAACGTTTCATAGCTTAAAATAACACATAACTATTGCTATATAGTAAATGTCTATTAAATAACATTAATAATCTTTCAAATTATCCTATGAAAACTCTGTTATTTGAAGGTAAATTAATACAGAGTTATGTACTCCTTTGGCAAAGCAATTTTATGGCATGTACGGTTTGAAAAACGTTTTTTTGTTTATATATTTTCGTATTTTGTTTTTTTTTTCATAAAAGCAATTTATTTTCTATTTGTTTTTTGTAAATAAAATACTATCACTCGAGATACATTCACTAATGTGGTGTTTATGTGAGTGTAATAAAGGTGGACCTATTTTTGAGCACTATTTGAAAAACTTTCATTTCATTTATTCGTATTTTGTTCATTTTATTGCATATTAGCTATTTGTTATCTATTTGTTTTTAACTCTTAAAAGTCCGAGGTCTCCATTTGGATCCTTGTAGACCGCGCCAAAGAGTATACTAATATTTAGAGGGACGCCTTAGAACCAAAGAGTATATGATCACTAAGTTTACTCGAAACCATAGATAAGAGTGCTCAGGACGATTCTTTTTTAAATGTTATTTATAAGAATAATAATTCTTAAAGAATTATATTCTTATAAATAACATTTTAAAATAATAATATTAATAATTATATTAAAAGAATTATATTATTATAAAGTTCACATATAAACTTAAATACTTGGTAATATTAAGTTGCTGAAAGACACGCTGTACTTAAAAAAATTATATGCGTGTTATGATATTCAGTGGAATCTCTATAACTCGACCTCGTTAAGTCGAAATCCTCAGTAAGTCGAAAAAAATTGCATTTCTTAAACATATAATTATTCAGTGTGTTTTCAATTTCAATAGATGTATTTTGTAAGATAATTATTAATGCACGCCCTTCACTATGTTCACTACTTAATATTTTCTTCTCCGATGGCTGTTCATTTACAAGCAGTTTAGCCAGCTTAGTAATAACTAAATTATTTGATATAATACCAATATGAATAGCATTATCTTCAAGGCTAATATCGCAAACGACTGCCTCAGTAAATTTGGTAGTAAAGTATAGGTATTAATAATATAAACATAATTTCAAAAGTTTCCAAGAAGCCATATGCTGCGTGTACCCCTGACGAGCGAGATCCAGCGTTACGCAGTAAACGCTCATTCCTGAAACCTTTATCTACCGCCAGCTTAACTTGTATTCAAACTTTTAAAAAATTATATATTATCCAAATATCTGTTTTAGAAAATTATATTGAAAAGTTTAAGAATATCAAAAGAAATTGCAACAAAGAGTTATAATTTCAAATAATATTTTTATTCTATTTTACCCATGAATATAATGGATCCCAAGGGTGAAGGTGTAGTCGGTGGAATGAGACATCAATATACATAGGTTAAATTTTTCAAATTTCCATACAGATTATTCAATGTTGATGAGACTAGAATAACGGTAGTCCGACCTTGCGGAACTTCAATGATAATTTTTCGTCGAAAAAATATAGTACAATATTTAATGGATGATGCTCCAGTGGGGTCTATAATAGAAACCTGGTTCCATCGTGTAATCCCGGACATGTTTAATGACCAACAAGACGTAAAATTTTCCAAACACTTTGCATCTGTGTGCATGTAAAAGCAGATACTAATGCATGCTTACTCTGTTAGTGGTTTCAGAAAAACGGCTGAGTTATTATTCTTAATATAGATAAACTCTGATTGTTACTCTAACGTATAATTAAAGTCAATAAAAGTAAATTAATTAATTGTATTTTTCATTTAAACTAGGATCTAGGATTTTTAAATTAGGATCCCTAATACCACATATTAGGATACATTGATAGAAAAAGTGTAAAGGGTTATTCCGTTTATCCATCTAGGGTGGATACTCGGAAACGCGTGTTCATCTATCCATCCTAGACGGTGCGGATAATCGGAATTCGTATATATATATATATGGTAACATGATAAAAACTGGTTCAAGCTACTAAAAATATATACATCTTGTTTTAGAGGTCTGAAATAAATGGACTTAATCACAGGATTACAGATTCATGGGAATTTAGACATAAAATAATTTCAAATGAAGTTAAGCACACTTTCAATCGTAACGTTTTTGGAATGCTTACAAAAAACGTCCAGTTCTTCGCCAACACATCTGTGCAAAGAAATTTAAAAAAACAATTTCAAATGTACATTAAAAGTGATGAATTTATCTCAACTTAAAATAAAATTAGTGTCTGTAACTGCCTGGGCATATTACAAAATTTATAAATTATGCAATAACATTATTCAAAACTTTTTGATTTTGATATTCAAAAGATTTTAATAGGCTATAACGGTAACAGTAACACTAAATATGTTTTTGATAAGGTTTGTTTGTTTGTGATTATTAAAAATTAATTAATAGTTAAAGTATATGTGTTTAACCACTTGGGGCAAAAATTCGGAATAATAAAAGTGAATTCCGATTATCCACCCCGTCTGGGGTGGATAGAGCACACGCGTTTCCGAGTATCCACCCTGGCGTGTATAAACGGAATAACCCATATTATTTTGTTATGTAAGTGTATTAAAGAATCTGTAATAATTATTGCTAAAATATTATAAATATTAGTAGGTTTTGAAATCTAATTTATTATCACGTAAAATTACCTTTTGCTTACCTGTGATTGGCACCTTTACATACTACCACAGTTTAAAGAACTTACGGTTGATGTCAGGCGATGCCGCCGCCCGCGTAAATAATTACGTGGCCAGCAAGTATGGGCTAGTCACGAAAATGGAAAAAAAATTATGTTGGGTGTTAGAATACTTATTATCATTTATTAACATTATGTACATACTTTAAATTAAGAACATTTATTATATACAAATTTACAAATCTTGCACTGCCAAATATTTTCGTGACATGTTCTTTTTATTCATGTTTTCGATTGTTAAATTTCATTATTTAATGTATACGCACTCGGATAAACAATTTTATCAAAAAAAAGGAGGGAAACCTAAGCATGTCATTTGATTTCAATTTTACTTAGTAGCTTATGTAACTTCATCAGTAGTTCATCATTTAGATATTATATTTTTCGGAAACTGCACTTAAAATTAGTTAAATGACTACTATAAAACACACTCGCACTAACGGCACAAACGCTAGCACAAGGTCAGGCCGCCCCCTGTTCGCAAGGAGTCCACCGTTGCTCTGCACAAGTATATTCGTTTCCCAGCTCTAAGGTCTTTAAACTGTGATACTACATTATACTTACAGATTCTCATAAAACTAAATAGAGAACAGAAGACAGAAAATTTAATCGAGGTTCAATTTAGTAGGCTGCTGTGCAATAGGCACTTCTTTTTAGATTTTTTGATAATTGATAATTGTATAAAAAATGGGGGCTTTTGTGTAATGTAATAAAAGTTTACAGGATAAGTGAAAAGTTGGGTTAAAAGGGTTGGTAATATTAATAAGACTAACGAAATCTAGAAAATTGATACTAAATCTTTACGTGATTTCTAATTTTTGCAAAGTCAAACCAAAGACATTACGTAAGTGAATTTATTAAGTTAAATTAATTGATAACATTAAGGCAAAAATGGGAGTGACATTACATTTATTTATTACATAGATACATGGATTATACTTTGCATAGTTTTCCAATACATTACGGAATAGAATTTCAAACACCGTTTTAACATACTGTGGAAAGAAACAACCGGATGAATTCTATTAATGAAAACACAATAGGTAAATCTTATTCAAACAAGTATTCGTTTCATAATATTTAAAATTTTTGCAATTAATACCTACACATTTTTAAGTTATACCAGGCCTGTCTTGCTCCGCGCTTTGGGCATGAATATATACCTACGCTGTGCGGCCCCCTACAAAGTTCTGATTCCATGAGGTTGTCACGCGGGCGCTCGAGTTGAAGCGCGCACTTTTGATATTTATTTTTGAGTTTTTATATATTTGGCCTCTGAAAAAGCATATATATATATATATATATATATATATATATATATATATATATATATATATATATATATATATATAAAAGTACTGCATAGCATACAGCTGCTTAAATATCAATAGGAATGTCGACATTTCATTCTTTACTGTTCCTAAGGATATCGATAAAGGTAAAATATTATTTTTATAGATAGATCTAGATAATTATGTACCTAATTATAGTTACCGACACCATAGTCACAGATTTATTATTTGGTTAGCGACCCGACCACAGCTCTGCAGTTTTTGATTTTTTCGCGTATAATGCCAATGACCTTATAAAAAGTTCAGTGTAAGTAGAGCTCCCAGTAGTGACTGTCTTCTAATGCAATATCAGTAAATACTAGTTATTAATCTAACAATTGGTCGACAAAAGAAAGAGATTGAAAATAGCAGCACTTCTCATTACCAATCTTTCATTAATAATGCCTAATCGTCGCATGTTTGTAAATAGCAAAAAATGTAAAACAAACAAGTGGTGAAATTAAAAATATTGTACAACAAACTTTAATAAAAAGTAAAGTGAGAACATCGTCAATGTAGTCGAAGTCAATTAAATACGAATTACTAAGGACAACTCCAAATATACTGGTCAGATCTGGATCAAATTTATTTAGGACTACATCAGAAGCACCAGCTTTCATAAAAAAGAATCATCAAAATCGGTTTACCTAGAAAAAAGTTTTGATGTAACACATAAAAAAAACGTGGAATTGAAGAACTCTTCCTTTTTATGATGTCGTTTGAAAATAGTAAGTAGGTAAATTATTAGAGTTTCAAGGACGTTCACGTGGTTATAATCTAAATTTTTCTCGATGTCGCATATTAACCTTCCTCACATTGAACA